GAATATGATAAATAGAGAGAGAGTGGGTGGGTGTGGTTTCAAAATATGTAGACATGCTTTGAGTCAAAGGTTAGGAAGAAATGGCCGCACATCTTAATACTGTTCATAGGAAGAGAAGAGTGTTCATATAAAGAACTGTGAAATGAGGTGTATTGCGGGAGAGAAAGTAGATGGTGCCGAACCCTTTATGAAAGGCCATGCCTTCTTGGGGAAAACATTCCTCCTATGCTTCTACATAGAAAGTCTAATTTCCCCCCTCCCTGTTTTTCTCCTGTCCCCAAAACCTTCCAAATTCTTTTATGCAGATGCAAATTAAATCAGAGAATTTTGCTGTATTATAGCCTTCAGTGTTCTCCTACCATTGGCTGCTGGGAATTGAAGTTCAGCAACTTCTAGAAGGCTACGGATTACTCACACCTGGATTATTTATTTTAATTATTAATCAAATTTGTATCCCACCATAGTCACAAAATTCTCGGCAGCTCGCAAAGTAAGAAAATACAATAAAATATAGAAACACAGAGATAAAGCAAATAAAACCCACACATAATATATGGCCTCAGGCCCCCAAAGCCCTCTGGAAAAGCTTTGCCTTCAGCTTTTTCACACACACACACACACACTCTATCTATCTCTGTTGCTATCTCTCTATATATCTTGTAGACTCAGAAACAATGTACAGTATATGTTTCTTTCACAATCTGTCCATGGCCAGAGGAATAGAATTGTTCGATTGCAAATTCTTGCTGTGATCAAGATATTAGTGCTGACCTGTGAGGCTTTCCCTTCTCTAAATCCTCTTTATATAAAGGAAGGATTGAGATGCATGATCACGGTTCACTGGCTTTGATGCAGACGGATGGCTTCTTGAAGACAGAATGCACCACTGGGGAATTAAGGCCTGGATTCAGTGTTATTCTTTAATTCCTTGTCTCTTATTAACCTGCTACATAACATTCAGTAAGTCACCTAAGTTTTTCATTAGCAGCATGGTTAATGGTCATGCTGTCTGGGGATGATGACATGCATTCTGTGACTTTCTTTCTTGACAGGAGTTCAGTTTTGTTTAGGTTTTCAAATTTTCTTTTAATGTTTGTATTTGGCTATTTTGGTTATTTTTTTCCTATCTAAATATTAAAGGCAATAAATGAAGAACAAATCCTACAGAAGCCTTGTATGTGGGGGACCAAACCAGGAGTTCATAAAGGAATTTTTTAAAAAAGAGACAAATGTTATGTAGCCGGTTAATAAGAGACAAGGAATTTAAAAAGAGACAAAAAGAAAGAGGGATGAGTAAAACTCCTTGGGAGACTATCTCTGATGGCTATTCATTCTGGCACTGACCTTAATCCCACCTCCCCAGATCTTC